TCAATTGCATTGAGAGACCAGCTGACCAAATCCATAACTAAGAATTTGGAAGATATGCAAAAAGAGGCTCCAAAAAGAAGACAAGACACAGAGCTGAAGCAGGGCAGATATGGGAGGGGTGCGGGAGGGGACATTGGTCATAGTTCGGAGCCACTTACAGCCAACACCTGCAATGCCGTGGAAAGTTTTCGTCTATATTTTATATCATTCATGGCAATTGAAAGATATACTTGCCGCAAGGCAAGGTTTATACATTAGCCTTCCTCATTCTGTTGCTCTGCATTCTCCCTGCCACCAGCTGCTCCACACTTCTCCTGATTAGCCCTTCTAGTGTTCCATGTCCAGTCATTGCCTGTAAGTTTACCTTTTCAATCATTATTAAAATAATTCAACTCACCATGTGACTCCTACGTTCTGATCTGCACATTGGTCCTTCAACCCCCCAGCTTTATATGATATAACCACTGTGCCACCACAGTCTGAAGGGTTCAAAATGAGCAATTTTGCATACATTGTAAATTTGTCAGAATGTAGGGTGTGATTTTGTTTCTATGATACAAAAATGGGGGAGCAGCACTTGCATCATTGTTTAGGTGCCCATGGTCTGACTGGTAGTCAACTTGGGGATAAGTGCATTGCCCAGGGGGACATCACTATGTAGCAGGGGAGGAACAATGAATCAAACTCACAACTTTCTGAATGCAAGACAACTACTCTTCCCACTGAGCCACAGCTGCCTCAATTTGTCAATACAAATGACACATCAGCAGTAATGATCTAAAGATTGAATCCAGCATCTCTTCAAAAATCAGTGCATGTGATGGTGCTGAGACCCATTCAATCAGTGTCCACATTTTTTATTCCCTTAAATCCTTGTTCTGTAGGTTTCTTCCTCTCACATAAGAACTAGAGGCAGTTTTCTCCCTGATTATCAATTTAAAACCTATTAAAACAATTTTTGCTTTGAGTATCCTGATTTACTGAAGCCCTGCCAAGTACTATTTGTTCTCTGCTTTTTGTTCCTCCTTCTGATGTGAATTAACCACAAATCACCTGGAGGGACTATTATGGGTCAGAATAATGGAAAAAAAACAGTTCTCATGTTTGATGCAGCCACGCATAAATATGTGCAGAAGTTCCCTGCATGCCAGGCACACATATCTGTGCTCTTATTTGGGCCTTGATTATGAAGCCCAAAGTGTTTGGATCTTACCGGATTAGATCCAGCAGAGCGTCAGCAGAACTCATTATATGCTTGCTGCTGTCCTCAGAGTCCTCTTTCTGGGCTGCACCGCCCGGGTGGATAATTGACACCATCAGGATCCCTACTATGACAGCCACAAATGTTGTCCACAAATAATATGACACTGTGATCAGCCCGAGTCGACTGGAACACTTTGCATCGAGAGCTGCCAGGCCAGACATCAAACTAGAAGAAAGGAGAAGAAAGTTGGGAGAGATTGTATTTTTTCTTTAACAAATCTCATTGTTTTACTGAACATGTTGACCCTTTTAACCAGGTCATCTTTATATTACACCGTATCAGCAATTAAAACACACTTTTTAAAGGTTGCCTATCTCTGTGTGTTTACTTAAGTCTTCCTAAGGACTCTACAGTTTGATGAGGTATTGTTGATTTCAAATAAATTAGTCTTTTGTTAACTCAGGGTTAGTGTTTCTAAATTCCTCTATGGGTTTCAGCTACTTACAGAAAAAAAGCAACTTTCACAGTGTTACCTTTTACTTTGAATTACAGAATAACTTTAATTAAAAATATCTTGATCTTTTATGCCAACTTTTTACTTTTGCAATTTTTTTTGCTGTTCAGAAATATCTTTTTTTAAATCACATTTTGTGTTATTGCTGTTTTTATATTTATTTAAGAAATTATTCATCACTATGAATAAGGTTTTTTAACCTTGTAAAGTCTTTTATGAAACCTGCTATTGAAATGAAGACTCTTTAATTTTTTTATTTTTTTTTTACCGTGTCCTGTCTGGCAGAGTATCGCTCAGAATTGTTGTCTGAGTGCCAAGAAATTGCCCAACAGATTTACTTTCACAAGCAGAGCATCACAGCTAATGCTTTAAAGCTCTGCTTG